AAGTCCTTCCCACTGGCTGGGACTTTGAATACAAGCCTGCCTGCAAATGGGCCAATCTGCCTCTTGCGCTGCATCCACTTTGTCATTGGACCTCCCACCCACTCTCCCTATTGTATTATCAATTGTGTACAGTGGTACCTTGGGTTACAGATGCTTCAGGTTACAGACTCCGCTAACCCAGAAATAGTACCTCGGGTTAAGAACTTTGCTTCAGGATGAGAACGGAAATCGTGCTCCGGTGGCGCGGCGGCAGCGGGAGGCCCCATTAGCTAAAGTGGTGCTTCAGGTTAAGAACAGTTTCAGGTTAAGAACGGACCTCCGGAACGAATTAAGTACTTAACCCGAGTTACCACTGTAGAGTCCTTGACATCATTTGGTTGCTGTATTAGGGGGCAGGAAGGATATCCCCCCAACAGTGCTGGGAAGAGGCTTCGGCTAGCCAACTAAAACAGGTGAGTTTAGCCAATGGCCTCAAACCCTTGGTGAGTTAGGGACTTCCTCTACATGCGAAGATTGAGCATACAAGACCGGTAGTTGGTCCAACAGGCAAGGAGGTGGTTTCTGCGTGTTATGTAGAGGTAACTGAGGGCCAAAGTAGGGCTTGTTAACCTGGGAAGATAGCCCATCTAGGTAGCTCTAAACCTCTGCTGTCTTGCAGCTATAGAAAGGCTTCGGGAATAAACCCCAAGGAAGATCCATACCTGCTGCCTCGCAGGACATCTTCAGAAAAAGATCTGTATGAACCCCTGATGCTCCAGAAGATGTGCACTAACCTTCTGCTTCTTAATGTTTATCACCATCCTTATTTCATACTGTGTCATCCAAGTACATGGTGATGATACAGAATTGGATCCAGAGTTTGGATTTCGAGTATGGAAGGGCTCCTTCCCTTCACAGAAGGGACTGAGATCCAGCAGAGGCTACTGTTGGATTAAGGGAGGGAGGAATTATACACTCATGGGAAATCTGGAACCAAGCTATAAAGTAAGCCTGGGAAAGCCGTGACCCTCCTGTTGCCAGACTCCAGATCCCATCAGCCCCATTCAATGCTCCGGGATGATGGGAGTTGTAGTCCAACATCTGGAGGTCTGCAGGATTCCCACTCGGGTGATACAGGATGAACTTGCAATGTATTAAGAAAGGATGGAACATTCAAGGCCTGGAAACTAGTATGACAATGATATAGGAAGAAGAAAGCCAATTCTAAAAACAAGGCAGGGTGTGTCTAGGACACTGAAGGAAAAGACGGTTATCAGGGTGGGTGCATCAGAGGTAAAAAGAGTCACCCAGTGAGCTCCAATGGCTGAGTGGGGATTCGGATCCTGATCTGCCAGGTCATAGTCAAACATGCTAACCATGAACACCACACTGGCCCTGGGATGTTGGGTGATATCCAATGTTTTAATTGGATATCACACATTTTGTGTAGCTGTGCAAGCAAAAATATATCAGAAAGGCTGTGTTGTAGGCCTACTTCTAACAATTAGTGCACCGGAGGGCAAGATTAACGACTTAGTTTATTTGGATAAGATTGGAAGGCTTGCAGTGATGGAGCCATAGAAAGAACAGCTTATGCCATAATGAATGTGTTAGTCTTTTTAGGCGCCACAAGACTGTGTTGCTGCCGATTTCCTGGTTCCATTCTTATGTAGCAAACCACAATTCCTTTCCTCGGTCTATTGGCGGCCTCTTGTGGCATCTCTTTCAGATGTTCTCCCCCTCTACTTTTCTTCACTTTGGGTGCTTCCAATCTGCCAGCATACTGAGCCTTCATCCCAAATTGCTTGGAGGCTGCTGTTACTGACATTATTTTTTTGTATCTTTATTTTATGTGGAAATTGTTCAGTTTGGTTATGTAGTTTTTGATGTGTTTTATATATTTTTATGATGACTTTGCTATGTTTGTAATTATGTAAATCTTTTCATACTGTAAGCCGCCTTGAGCATTGTTTTAACTGTGGAAAAGCGACATACAAATAATCAATCAATCTTTATTATGGTCCAGAGACCCAACAAATCATTACAAAGCAATACACAATTCAGACAGCCTACCTCCAGGTTAAACAAGCATTTTGTTCAGACTTAAAGATGGGGATCATTGGTTCTTGCAGCCACCGATAAAAACTTCGCCACTGCTAATATTCTAGCGTTTGTCCAGTCTTCCAATAGGAACCTGACATAGTGAGCCTCTGATTTTCCCGGGAAAGTTACCAGCAAGGGTAGTATCAGTTCAGCCCTGGTTTGCTCATATTTCGCACAGTGCAGCAAAATTATGTTTTATAGAATTGATGTCTTGGGCACACGAGCAAAGTCTGTCCAGGTAGGGAACTCCTCTCAACCTGCCATCCAACACTGCAGAAGGAAAAACATTTAGTCTGGCTTTGGTGAATAACCTTTGGTATTTTAGTACTGTCAGGTTTTTAATGTAAGGTGTTAAAGACATGCCCATATTGTACTCCTACTGCCAACGGACTACAGACTGCGTGTGACTGAGATCGCAAGTCGCTGTGTGTATTATCCCATAATCTTTGCTTTAATGTCTTTAGGGCGCCTTCATAACCCAGGTAATAGAGTTGGGAGGGGGGGTGACAGACCAATAGAGGTGGTTTTTCTAGCCATGGTTTTCTGCCAATTGCTGACAAACTCATCATTGGTTAGGTGTTGATACAAACCCTTCCCTATATCAAACACTGCAATCCTGAGCCAATGTTTTAGGGCAGCCCACCACGCTTTACTTGAAATAGGGCATTCACCAGCTTCTAAGAGAAATATGGAGTTGGGGACACAGTTGGGTGCCTGCAGCTGAGGTCGTAGAAATTTTGCCTGAAAGCCGTCTAGCTTAGGCAGGTCCCCATTATGCCAGACATTTGCAGCGTACAGGAGTTGGGAAACGGATTTTGCGTTGAAAACCCTTAAGGCTGCTGGAACATACTTTGTGAAAAGAATCTGAGTATGGCTAGCTTTGTGATTTCCACCTTTTGAAGGGAGGTTTGCTAGTGGTGCTTCCAAGATCTTGTATGATGGAATGTGAGCCCTAGATAACTGAAGTATTTAATCTGTTCAAGGTTATGGCCATCCAGCGCCCATTTAAACCGGGAGAAGCTTCTTTCGAATACTAAAATTTTTGATTTTTCATAATCAATGGATAAGCCATTTCCAAAACAGTAATCAGAAAACTTCCTCAGCAGATATCTCAAACCCGGTCTGGAACATGAAATGATGGCTGCATCATCCGCATATAACAACAAGGGGGTCCTTCTCATTCCTATTTTTGGAAGGTGTCCGTCTGGGTCCATTAGGCTCGCTTCTAGGTCGTTTAAGAATAGGCAAAACAGTGTGGGAGCCATAACACATCCCTGTCTCACCGCCCTAGTAATCTCGATACTGTTCGATAACTGTCCCTGCCAACCGCATCGGACCTGCAGTTTGGTTCCATTGTACAGGGCTTTTATAAGAAAGAGTTGTTTGTCCTGTAATATCAGATTTAATTTGGACCATAGCTGGGATCTGCGGATGCATACAAATAAAATGATTCTAGATTCAGGTAGGTAGCCGTATTGGTCTAATGCAGTTGAAATAAATTTAAAAATTGTCCAGTAGCACCTTAGTTGGTCTCTAAGGTGCTACTGGTCAATTTTTTTTATTTATTTCAAATTAAATGATGATGATGATGATGATTAGACGCTGTCGGCTATTTATTGAGCATTCATCCTGATTTGCTTGCAGGAAGGTTTATTCATTTATTTAAACTGCATTTATATCCTACCTTTTTTTCTCCAAGGAGCTCAAGCTGGCATACATGGTTCCCCTCCTCCTTGCCTATAAATTGGACCACAATGCCTCAAGAATGCCTCCCCCCATATGAACAGACCCAGACCCATCATCAGCATTCCTTTGTATGCCCAGAGGGCGGCAACATGAGAACAGGCCTTTTCTGAGGTGGCTCCCTGCTATCCCCAGGAACTCATCTGGTGCCTTCATTAAATCTTTAGGCATCCTTAGGAAGGCAGACATTCCTTTTCTCCCAGGTCTTTGGCTAATTAAACTATCTACGAACTTTTAAACGGGGGCGAGGGGTAATTGTTTTTATTTATTTTTATGGAATATATTTTTGTGTTTTATACTTCAAATCACCGTCATCCTCTGATGAAGGGCAGCATAGAAATTTGATAAATAATAGTAGTAATAGCAGTGCTTTTTTCTAAAAAAAATGTTTAGGGGTACTCTCATTTTCCTACTCATATTGAAATACCGCCCCTCAATGAGACCAAACTTAAGATTCACAAAATGTTTAGGGGTATGCGTACCCCTGCGTCTTCCCAGGAAAAAAAGCACTGAGTAATAGTACCCACAACAACCCTGTGAGGTAGACTGGGCTGAGAGGCAAGTGACTGGCGCAAGACCACCCATCCAAGCTTCATGCCCAAGTAGAGAATTTTGCAAAGGGAATGATTTTTTAAAATGATGTTTTTTCCACTCCACCCATGTAGACATGGGGAAGTAACAGATTCAGCGGGGGGGGGGGACCACAACAAAAGGCATTGGTGTAATTCACGGGAGGGCTCCCGAAAAACGCTGCACGCTTACTCGGGAGTAAGCCTCACTGAGCACAATGGTGCCTGCTTGGGACTAAGAATTGCAGCAAAGCGAGGCATCCTGTGCCCATTTGCTTTGACTGTAAGCATTCCCTGGATTAAAAGCAAAAGCGGCATGGGGTGGAAAAAAGACCTCGCGACCCATTTTGCTCTCGGTCCCCACAGCAAGGCAAGCGCTGCTCGCTGCCCGTCCCCCTTCCCCAGTTCTCAGCCTCCGCGATAGCGCAGCAGCGTTTTACAAAACAGCCCCATTCGAACACTCTTTGACGCAGGCGCGCTAGGTCCAGTAACTTAAGCGAGAGACTCCGAAGCATGGAGTTTTTGATCCTATTGGCTACCAAGCGTTCCAAACCGCTCTGATTATTCCCCCGCCCTCTCTTCTCCCGAGTGCTCCTTTACGTCTCTTCCATGATCGATCAGCCCATTGGGCCGCCGGCCTACGCGCGGGGCGGAGCTCCTGACGACTTCGCGCATCCGCCATTGGTCAGAACGGAAGATACGGGGCTCTGTCATTGGCCGGCGGAAGTTCTGTCCGGTTCTCTCCCCCCCCTCCCCGTGCATCGTTCTGTGTGTTGTCCCGAGAAGAAAGGCACGTGCGGGAGGCATGTGGCGCCTGGTTCGCTGCAGGACTGTTGTCGGTAGGTTTCCCCGTCGCAGGGCTCCGTCGAAGAAACTCTCGTGGCAGCCTTGGCCGGATCCTGTGCGTATCCGAAGCATATTTCGTAGGTTGACTTCAATGCTGGCTCCACTTATCTTACGGGAAAATTCATTCATTCATTCATTTTTATTGAATTTATATACCGGGCGGATTTAGGTTTGATGAGGCCCTAAGCTACTGAAGGTAATGGGGCCCTTTATATGTCCAGCTGTCCTTCGTTAACAACAAATTGTCGCTGTTTTTTGTGTTGAATATATGCTTTATGGTAATTTATGGACCTCCTAGGTATCTAAAGCCATTTTATGTATTTTATCAAAGTAACTGTTGAACCGAAATACAATTAAGAAGAAGTATATTAATAGTGAATTTTGGGGTGGGGGGCCAAGAGAGTGGGGCCCTAATTTGTGGAATTTCCAGTGTAGGACTTGATGTGCATTAAGTGTCTATTTCTTCTTTTAGAAGTCGGCTTACCAAAATGACTGAATTTGGAGAGGGCAACAAGCCAGCTTCCTATAAAAGAATAGTTCTGAAGAATGCTTCTGAATACCACTATCTAAAGATCCATTTGTAAGTCCATGCCTTTTTTTCCTTTTGCCCCTTCACCTTGGAAGGATTTTGTGCGGCGTATTCTTTTGTTGATCAATAGGATTTGCTAATAAGACTTATTGCTAACTTACATTTCAGGGAGTTTCAGGAAGCTGACTTTAGCCTAAATGCTGTTGAATTCAAACAACTTATCATCTCTGCTCTGAAACGGCTGCATGGTGAGGTATGTTTGTTGTTTATGTTGACTGTCATTATTCGGAGATGGCATTTCTTCAGTTTCCAAATTATGCTTATGTAAATATCCCCTTGTTTATTTGGATCCGCTGCATAGAGGAAAGATGGCTTCTGAAGGAGTACAACTATGCACTGTTTGTCTTTATGCTTTTAAAACGAAGTGAAAATAGGCAGCTGTTTCTCCCAACTTTAAAGGGTGAAACATTGCAGTCATAACAAGAGAAGACTATGAAGAGAGTAAGCGATATAAAATATGAATAATCAGCAACTTCATTTTGCAAAGTCTCTTTCTGCTTCTTAGTAACAACGTAATATCTTTTCTTTTTAGGTTGGTGCCGCTTTGCTTGTCGATGTGCTGACCTATGAGGAAGAAACATTGTCTGCAGTACTCAGAGTACCTAATGTGTAAGGAACTCTGAATATACATCTTTAGCAAGTGCTATTGGGTGAAAACAAGGCTCTCTAAAATGAAGGAGATGCTCTTTATGTTTAAAGGAGATGTCACAAGCTTGGTTGGTACTGTACAGGCAACTCCTCATTTACGCAGGGGTTGCGTTCTGAGGAACTGTGCACGTCAGCAGGACATGCAGAAGCCCGTCCCTCTCACCCTCTTCTGGTGCTGAAAATGGTGCTTGCTTCCATGGTTGTGCTTGTGGGGAGTTGCCTGTATGTAGCATTGTTGTTGCTTGGGTGTAGGAGTGTTACTTAATGGTGGTGAAGGTGTAATTTCCTCGTCGTTCCTGCAAGGTCAGGGTTAGAAAAATACTTCCAATTTCAAAATGCCAGTACAGTGGTACCTTGGTTCTCAAACGCTTTGGTATGGAAACAACTTGGAACCCAAACACTGCAAACCCAGAAGCAAGTGTTCTGGTTTGCAAACCTTTTTCGGAAGCTGAACGTGCTCCGTTTTCAGTGTTATGCTTCCGATTTGAGTGCCACACTTCCATTTTGAGTGTCACGCTGAGGTCTGTCTGTTTTTGCAGCTCTTTTTGATTTGTTTTTGTGACTGGAACCCAGTTGAGCTATTGATTGATTGATTGATTGATTGTGTGTCTGCAGTACATTGTTTATTGCTTTCATTTTATGGATCAATTGTCTCATTAGATAGTAAAATTCATGTTAAATTGCTGTTTTAGGAGTTGTTTTTAAAAGTTTGGAACGGATTCATTTTGCATTACTTTCTATGGGAAAGCTCACTTTGGTTTTGGAATGCTTTGGTTTTGGAATGGACTTCCAGAATGGACTAAGTTTGTAAACCAAGGTACCACTGTATGAAGTAGCAGCACCAGGCCTACACAATGTTAACCAAAAAACTTGATTTGAGTTACTTGGCAATAGTCAAATTGGTTTCTGGCAACCACATACCAATCCTTTGCAAGGTGTTCTCTGCATTCTCCTAAAAAAGAGGAAATTTTCATTAAATTTGTGTGCGGAAAGATGTGCTTAAAAATTCCAACAACACAGAACTGTGGATCTTGCCTCTCAATGAATGAGACTGAAATCTTAATATTTGTCCTTAGCCTTTTCTGTCATGTTGTGTTGGCACTTGTTTTATGTGAGCAAGAATGTCTCTAATTCTGTCGTTTGAACAGTGGCCTCGCAAAGCTGTGGAGTGCTCTGACGCTGTTTGGTTCATATCAGAACAGAAAGTGTGCTTTTAGGGTGATACAGGTAAGAGTTAAGATGCAAGCAATCTGATCCCAGGTTATAAAGCTGCCTAACAGAATTTTTTTCAGGATTTACATTTACAAGCTGTACGCCGGCTCACTCGGCCAATAAAGCGAGATGAGCGCCGCAACCCCAGAGTCGGCCACGACTGGACCTAATGGTCAGGGGTCCCTTTACCTTTAAAGGGATCCCTTTGAGTGCAATGGTGGTTACTCCCAGATGGATAAAAAATGCTGCCAAAAGATGTTATGTGATATCAAGTCACAGAAGTCTTATTTCAGTATTGGTTTGTAGTACACACATAGCAAATTGTAGTTAATTGGTCTTATTTTCTGAATTTCTCTTGAAAAACCAAAAGTACCTTACAATAAATACCTCAAGTAAGGAATTTGAAACCCATTTGGGTTGCTTTTTCATAGCGAAGAGATAAAAATTCATTTTAAGTCCCACACCTGCTTTGATTTTCCTCTGTGGTTAATAGTCCCAGCTAACTAAAGCACAGCTTTCTAGATGGATGGAGTAATCGATGAGGTATTTGGATCATTGGTTAATACTAATCGATCAGAATTCTCTTTCACACTACTTGGCTAGCCACACTTCAGTCGTCTCATTATAACTGGCTGATCAAAGTTTATGCCTTAATTCCATTGTTTATCAAATATTCTTGGTTGTTGCCCTGGAGCTTCCAGATTGTGGAAATCTATGTACCGTACTGTGGTACAGTATTCATGTTGGTAAAAGACCAATTCTTTTCAATATGGGATTGTTTAGAAAAGTAAGCTATTCTGTGTGTTCTGAGAAAGTGACTTTTCCCCATCATATATTGTTAGTCCTTGCAGGTGCCTAGTGCTGAAAGGTGGAATAGAAATTTAAATAACAAATGTGTAAAAAAAAACCTTGTCAAACTTGCTTAGAAGCTGCTCACTCTGAATGTTCACTTCTGTGGCTACTGATTTGCTGATATATCATGTTGTGGTTTTATTTTTGCAAGCACACTCCCCATTGTCCTTGGCCCTCTTCTGAATACCAAATAATTATATAGGCTGTCATCAGCATGTGAAAGTGATTCTTGGTGGCTACAGAACTGAGTGTTCCTGCCCTCCCATGGTCATTGAAATGCCCACTTCCCCCTCACCTCCTAGGCTTATATTTTATTAAATCTGGTTTCCAAGAAGATTAATCAACTTCCATTCTGTTGGCACAAGTTACTCACATTTTGTTTTCTGCATGAGGAATTTTCCTGTTCTTGTTTTGAAATTCATGTTCCTGTTTCTTCCCCTTCCTAGACTTCTCCGTTTCTTCTTGCGTTAGCTGGGAACAGCAGAGAACTGGTGCTGGATTAAATAAACTGAAAAGGCAACTTGACTCGAGCTTGTGAAAAGCCAGAGCTGTCTTAAGATGCAGGTGGCGTGGCTGAAATGCAGATTTCTATGTGCGAGACTCCAGCGAACTTTCCCAGCATGGCCAGATGTTGCCATTCCACTTGCTCAACCCTCTCTTCATCATTTGCACATACAAGTAGGAGACAAGGCGGAATTAACCAAGACATTTACGCAGGAGGATGTTGTTACCTTTTCGAAGTTAACGGGAGACACAAACCCATTGCATCTGGATGAAGACTATGCAGAGAGCTCAAGATTTGGCAGGAGAGTTGTCCACGGTGTTCTGATCAACGGGCTCATCTCTGCTGTTCTGGGCACTAAGATGCCTGGGCATGGCTGCGTTTTTCTTTCTCAGGAAATTCATTTCCCATCCCCGTTATATGTTGGAGAAGAGGTCTTAGCTGCAGCGGAAGTGAAGAAACTGAAGAGATGTCTTGCTTATATTTCCGTCTCCTGCACTGTGGTAGAAAGTGGCAAAACAGTGATGGAAGGCACCGTTAAAGTCATGGTGCCAGACCATCAGAAATCTCAGATCTGACCCCAAGTTGCAGTATATTATTGTAGCTGAGGCCATGAATAGTTTGCGTGGACATACATTTAAATACTTTTCAAGACAATGCCAACTGTGTACATTAATGCAACTGCTTAATGATACACAGAGTACATCTTATACTTATCTATATCTGTAATTGTTGGTGTTTTGTTTTATGGCTCAGAACAGAGAGCTAAATGCAGATTTCCTGCACCAGTGCATCATTCTCACCTACATTTCCGTGGTTTGTGACCATGGCTGGTTTGGATTCCTTTGGACCGTTTGTTGTTCAAAATGGGCTTTTCCTGGTAATGGGTTCATAAACTTTAATAAAGCACAGATCCCATTAGAAAAAAAATTCATTCTCTTGTATTCCAATGCATAGTTTGGTGGGTTCCTCCCGCCGCCCACAATAAAAATAATTACTTATAAATGGTCTGTTGCTACCTATTCCCTTCATGCTCAAAGCAAAATGCAGGATCCCTTTACCCCATATATATTCACTCGACCACTTTGATTCACTGAACTGGCACTCCGACAGGTGCTACCTAATACTTGTCCTGCGCTTGTAAGGAATGGGTATTTTAGTACAGGCGGCACCTACTTGTTGGAACTCCCCGCCTGTTGACATTTGACAGGGGCCTTCACTGAGCTCTTTGTGCTGCCTGTTGCTTGTTTTTAGACAAGCCTGTCCACACATGCACAAGTTACAGTGGTGCCTCGCAAGACGAAATTAATTCGTTCCGTGAGTTTTGTCGCCTTGCGATTTTTTTCGTCTTGCGAAGCACGGTGTTGGGAAAGCTTTGGAAAAGCTTCAAAAATCACCAAAGTCTTTAAAAACCTCAAAAAAGGCTACCACACCGCGTTCCATGAGTTGCTCCTCGAAGTCAAGTCGCAACTGTATTAACGGTGTTAAGAAAAAGGAAACAAATTTGCAAGACGTTTCCGTCTTGTGAAGCAAGCCCATAGGGAAAATCGTCTTGCGAAGCAGCTCAAAAAACAAAAAACCCTTTCGTCTAGTGGGTTTTTTGTCTTGCGAGGCATTCGTCTTGCGAGGTACCACTGTACATGTGTTTGATTTCTTTTTAACTATAGCTGATTAAATTATTATTTTTTAAAAGATCTGTTTTTCAGAAGTACACGTGCCTTCGTGGGCAACAAGTACTACTGGAATTGCTCTGGCCTACAGAAAAATGGCTGTTGTTGGTTTCCCTGTGGTTCTCTCCAGGGCTTTTTCTCAGCAAGAACTTGCCAGAGCTCAGTTCCAGCACCTCTCCGGTGGGTGCCATTGCTATGATAAGAGAATGAGGGAGACGTTCATAGTAAGTGATGGGAAAGGGGCATAGCCGGGGGGGGCGGCAAGTGGCAAGCTGCCCCCCCCAACCAAGTACATAAATAAAAAATAATTAAGTGGCCAATCGTGTCGCAAATAGCTCAGTCCCCCCCCCCCAATAAATCTTGCCCCCCACAACGTGAATCCTGGCCATGCGCTTGGGAGTGCGGCAAGAGCTTCACTCAAAGCTCTTGCATCAACGAATTCACAGGGCACGGACCTATAGTTGCTTCAAGTGTGGGAAAAGCTTCAGTCAGAGTGGCAACAACCTTACTTCGCATCAAAGATTCATACAGGGCACAAACCTAAGAAAGGGTTGGAGTGTCGAAAGATCTTCAATCATATCAAAGCTCCAGCAGAGAGCAAACCAAAGATTGTGCTCATCGTTAGAATCTGCTTCTTTTTCTTTGTTTCATTTGATTTTTTTTGCTTCACTCCAGTTTGTCATAATAGACTTTTGCTTGTTTTGAGGGCCTTTGTTAGAGTGCTTGAACTTTGCCTGTTGCGTCGTCGTGCCTGGCTGGCTCGAAGGACATCCAATCTCAGTTTGTGATATTTTTTTGTCTTGTTTTATGTATCATAAGTTGCTTTTAGTTACCCTGGTAAAAAATATGCAAATCTATTAAAAAATTAAAAAATGCTTAAACCCCCAATTAAACAGATAAAATCAGTAAAACCTATGAAGCATTTTTTTTTCTTTTAAAAGAAATTGCCTTTTTGTAAAAACAACAACCCCTAAATCATATGACTGGGTGGGCTTGCCAAAACAAGTTTCAGCTGATGTGTAAAACAATAGTGAGTGGTTTCCTTTTTTTAGGGTTTGGCTAGCAATACAGAGCAGGCTCAGTGTCCACATTTTTTTATTTTTTTAAAAATCGCTTGTTTCAAGCTACTCTGCTAAGTTCAAGATGACTCTGGTTACATGCTCCTAGGTTCTCCATATCCTGGAGCTGTCTTATCTTTCTCCTGCATGGCCCTCTGGTCAAAACCAGCACTTGTGTGTGAGTGAGACAACTTGAGTCATTGTCTTGCCTCTTCTTTTCATTTGTGGGAACTTCTCCCCCCCCCCCCCTGTGTTGGTAATGAGATCAGACAACCATCCCTTCCCATCCCTGGACCCATAAGAGTTGGGGTCAAGGCAGAGCTGGCTGTTCATAATTTAAATGCTTGTTAATTCCAGGGAGGGTAGAATTTATAAGTTAACACCTTCCTGTAGAAATCAGTTCCCTCCAGAATATTTATGGGTACTTCAGGTTAACTAAACAGGATGAATATAGAGAACTGCTAGTTTCCTGGACGACTGACCATATCAAATACGGCAAACTAGTTTTGCTGACTGCCAAAATGGAATTTGGATATTTTTAAACTGACAAGCGCCAATGTTAAGCTGGCCATTATTAACTCGGGTTCATTAAAATGCATTACCATTATTTGCAAAGCATAATGTGTACTCTTCCTAAGATGTGTGGGTTGCTTTGGGCTTTAGTCATAAAGCTAGGGCATGTGGAAAACATTACGTCCTAAGATCGCAACTTTCACAAAAAGATGTTTTGAGTGGAAAACATTATCTTCCCCTGAAACAATTCCATTCAGCACAATTGTTCTCTTTTTGAAACACTATATGCTTAAAAGTTGTAGAGCTAGCATTCATTAAAATGGTGGCCTTAAATGGTTTGCGTTTCCTCAGCGATGTTTGTAGGATTGTGGCCTGGGGCGAAAGACGGGAATTTAAAACATAAGCTGCCCAGCACGACTGAAAAATCTGCATTCCTAGTTAATTTGGTCAGTATGTCAACTTAGGTTTTAAATGGCTGAAAAACACAACTCCTCGAGGAGAAATTTGTTTCACATGCTGTGGTTCATCCTGTAAGAGGTATTGCTTTTTAGACCAGTTATCTAGGGAGTAACGGAGGGGGGGTATTCTGTTTGCTAGATTTAATCAAATCTGTGCAATGGTGTGTTGGTGAAGTACAAGGATACATTAAAATTATGCTTCATGGCATTACGGATCACTCCCCAGAGCATCTTTTAAAGATTTTGATCAAAGCTGTGTGGATGTCTACTATACACACACTTCAAAGTTATTGTGGGACGGGGCTCCTTGCGTCCTGTTCACTTCTGAATAGCCTCTTTCATTTTTGTGCGTAAAAAGGATAATGAATGAAAGAGCGAGAAGGAAAAGACCATGTGGTCTGGCCTGACACAAGCATGTTTCACTTTTCACAGCTGAAAAGACTGTGACCCTTTGTAAAGTAGACTGTTGATTCATCTCAGTAGGGAGCTACCCTCTCAGAGCAGCTTTGGTTAGCTGGAGATTGAGAGAGAAAAATAGTAATAAAATAAAAGGTGCTTCCCACACCTTCCTGCATAAACTTTGTTTAAATAAATAATGTATGGGGTAGAACTTTTGCATCTCGCCCTATTTTTGAGAGGTGTCAACTGCCCTCCGTTGCCTGACTGCAGCAAGAGATGCAAAGCGTCACTCCGCATGACCTAATAAAAGAAAAATGCAAATTGTTAAAATGCCAGCCTGCCACCTCCACAGCCTGAAACTCCTCTTAGGCACATGCTTAATGCTCCTGAGTGCTTGTCACATGGCAGAGTTGGAGGATTGACTGCCTAAGCCAGGCTTCCTCAACCTGGGTCCTCCAGATGTTTTCGGCCTACAACTCCCATGATCCCTAGCTAGCAGGACCAGTGATCAGGGATGATGGGAATTGTGGTCTCAAAAAACACCTGGAGGGCCGAGTTTGAGGAAGCCAGGCCTAAGCCATGGGTAGCTAAGGTGTGGTGCCTTCCAGATGCTGCTAGATTACAATGCCCATCAGCCCTAGCCAGCGTGATGGGAGTTGTAGTCCACAATCGTCTGGAGGGCACCATGTAAGCTACCCCCAATCCAGGGCTACAGCCTGATCTGTGGAGAGTACAGTGGTTACATACGCTTCAGGCTACATACGCTTCAGGTTACAGACTACGCTAACCCAGAAATAGTGCTTCAGGTTAAGAACTTTACTTCAGGATGAGAAGAGAAATCGTGCTCCGGCGGCGCGGCACCAGCAGGAGGCCCCATTAGCTAAAGTGGTGCTTCAGGTTAAGAACAGTTTCAGGTTAAGTACGGACCTCCAGAACGAATTAAGTACTTAAC